CATTCCCTTTCCCTTTCTCTTCTGGTAACATACATATATAAGTATATGCTGGATCGTTTCGTTCATTCACTATGGAATCATTCGGAGCCGTTGCTGATGATCACAGACCAATTGTTGACTTTGCCAAGGATAAGAATGGAATCGATCAGATTCTGCTTCGGAATTCCAAAGGGGCTTCAGTAAAGGTGAGGAAATCTTCTCCCCACCTACTTTTTTCTGGGTTTTAGAGGGAATGAAGTTCATATCTGTGTACAAGAAAAATCGTAGATGTTCTTAGATTTTTTATTTCGAATCTGATTCTCGGGTTTTTTAATATCCTTAGATCCTCGATTCCTCGTACACCACCTGTTCGATGTTATTCCTCCACCGGATCTCTCATGTTGGTATTGGCAGTGTGAAGAAAACGTAATTTTTCTCGATCAAAGATTCGGAATCAACTTTTCTAGTCAAGAACTGGAAATCTTAGATTCTCCTGCACTAAGGGTTTAGATCTTTTGTCTCTGCTGAATCTCGTATGTTTTTTTGGTTCAGTATATAAGGATGTGAACGTGATGATCCTCCGACATAATATTCAGAACCCAATTTCCTAATCTAAGAATGGATCAAGGATTGACGATCCGGATCTTGGTTGCTCAAACCAACAGCTTTGTTGTGGTTCATGGTGTGGGGTCTTGTTCATTTGATTGGCCTACAAGTTTGGTTTTTCCTCTGTTTCATGAGATTGTGTTAGTAGGAAATCTCGAGATCAGATGGATAATCAGATTACTATTCTTAGGATCATGATCTTGTGAGAAACCAGAATTGATCCCCTTAGAGCTTGGTTTGATCACTGAAAAGCTTACCTAAGTTGTGGAAGTGGTCAAATTTTCATGTTAGGCTTGGCCTTCGGAGAAATCTTGGAATTGCAGTTCTTGGAAAGTGATACCTTACAAGCTTTTCATCGTGATCTTTTCATGGCAGTATCAGTGTCTCTGTTAATAGTGTTAAAGCGGTCTAAGATTTAGGTTTTGATTCTTGAATCTCTCTCGAAAGGGGAACAAGATAGTTTCTGGATCTAGTTTCTTTTCCAACATAAATATGCAGACTCTTGACTTATGCTGGATAATTGATCGGTTTAGAAGTCGATAGCTGAATGTTTTGTTGGGCTGATGCTTTGTTCAGATAAGCTTACATGGCGCTCAAGTTCTTTCTTGGAAGAATGAGCGTGGTGATGAACTTTTGTTCACGAGCTCTAAGGTACATATCATTTCGGGTTTTGACATTCCTCCAATTTAATGTAAACCATTTTCCAGAATTTTATGAAACAGAATAATTCTATTGTTTCAGACTGTCCTTAAGCCACCGCATCCAGTACGAGGTGGAATCCCTATATGCTTTCCTCAGGTACATTCAAACCTCATGTGGATATATTACAAACTTCTGCATGAATTTTGGATTTAGTATCTGGGTTCTAATTATTTTTGTACGAAAAAAGTTTGGAACTCGAGGATCACTCGAGCAACATGGGTTTGCAAGGAATAAGATTTGGGTCGTGGAAAATGATCCGCCTCCTCTACCCTCCTTTGATCCAACGGAGAAAGCCTATGTTGATTTGGTTCTTAAGCCATCCGATGAAGATTTGAGGATTTGGCCTCACAGGTGGGATTTTCCATCAAGTTATTTTGATTTGTTGATTGTTCAGATGTCATTTAGCATGCCAATGATTTTGGTCTTGTTTCAGTTTTGAGTTTCACCTGAGGGTTTCACTGACATCGGATGGGAACCTAACGCTGCTATCTCGAGTCAGAAATATTAATTCCAAGCCTTTTAGCTTTTCCATCGCATACCACACATACTTCTCCATATCTGATATAAGGTAAAGACCATGGTTTCTTACTATACATCTCATATCTGTCAAACCGTGTTAAATTCACGATCAGTCTTTAGAACCCGAGGTTCTTTTTTGGTTTCACAGCGAAGTTCGGATTGAAGGGCTGGAAACTCTTGACTATCTTGACAACTTACTCGAAAAGGAGCGGTTTACAGAACAAGGGGATGCATTAACCTTCGAATCTGAGGTAATAATAACATGGACTATGTTGTTTCACTATGTAGAATTTAGAAGTCATATGGATCAGCATCGCTTATTCATTGAGATGGGCTGACAATATTGGGTGAGTAACTGAGTTCCTTTTTTTGGTTTGAAGGTGATTTTATTATATCAAAAGAGTTACAAAACCCAAACATTTTTTTCTTTACAAAAGATTATGAAACCCATGAGCAAGTGGTAATGTTTCCAAAATAACATCACATTAGGCTATCTCCGAATCTCATGTGTCAAGTAATACCAAATAGCAAGCTGCGACTCTCTATCCTCCAGGGGCTTCCTCTTGATAGATAACAAAATACTATGAATGGAGCGATCAATCTTCCGCCGTATATGCTCAACCGTTCTCCTCTTCTCACTTGGAGTAACTGAGTTCTTGCAGATAGACAGAGTGTACCTCAGTTCTAAGGACGTGGTAGCAGTCTTTGACCACGAGAGAAAGCGTACTTTCCTCATCAAGAAAGAAGGGCTACCCGATATCGGTATCCTTCTTTTAATTTCAATGTCTTCGGCTTAGGCCACTGTCTGCATGATGATGTTCATGTACCAAACCACTTGATTGGTAAAGCTAACCATTGGCATCATCATCGGTGAACAGTTTTACTAGGACTGCAACTCGAATTGAAGTACTGCTTATTGGTTACAAATGTGCATATATGCAGTATCCTATGGTATGGTATGATATGATATACCGGTTTGGGCTCTAGGGCTTGCATGGACTGCAGTCTTTCTTCTACACGTTTAGAGAATTCGGTTGCTGGTCACAAAATCCAAAATACATGTTCTGGGTTTGTGGTATTATTGGTTTTCCATTCAAACAATACAACATACCATGTGTTTAATCAGTCTATCGGTTTTCTGTTAACCGGTTTGGTTTAGGACTTGCATGGATTAAACACATTCTTTCTTGGTGATTGTTCTAAATGTGCAGTAGTATGGAATCCATGGGAGAAGAAAGCGAAAACATTGGGAGATCTGGGAGACGAGGAGTACAAACATATGCTCTGTGTTGATGGTGCTGCCATTGAGAAGCCCATCACCTTGAAACCGGGCGAAGAATGGACCGGTTTATTGGATCTCTCTGTTGTTCCTTCGACCTGATAACCGGAACCGGTTCAACCGCCCCGGTTCATTTCTCTCTCATGTTTTTTTTTTGTAGAAAAAAAGGGGACCCGACGATTTGGAATGTCACCGGGTTTTTTTTAGCAAGTGACCAGATCGTTTCTTATTCTATGGGTCTGTCTTTGTGCTGAGAGTGGTTGTAATTGTAAAACCAAAACCTTTTTATTATTATTATTATTATTATGTAAAATTTGTATATGAAGATTTGTTATCTATATATGCAATTTGTACTTTGTTTAGCTCATTTTTGGAACATATATACATTATTTTTACATTTTTAATATGGTTTTTGATTTGATTAAGATAATTATTATCTGTCGACATTTAAACGGTATCTTCTATATGAAATATCTATATTAAATTTTATTTTCCATATATTATAAAGTAGTAGCGGTGATTACATGCGGTGGTTCATGTGACGTATAATAAGTATATGTTGTAATAACTCCAAAGCAGCAACACCCACGAGGAAGCAACAAACTTGTACAAAAAACAAATACCTAACATTCGTATATTTAAATATTGTCTATATTTCAATGGACCGACTTTGATTATATAGTTTATAATGTAGTTAGTATTCTAGTCAGAAGTTCCATGTTGGAATTTAAATAATGGGTTTTCTATAATATAAACCGTTTATATATTTTTTTTCCAATTCTGATAGATTAAATATGTGTTAATATAACAAGTTCATAATATTGTTATATTTTAGTTATTTTGGTTGAATTTATATAATTTTCCTCATAATTCACTAAAAGGATTGCAGTTTATCTAATGGCCAGAAGAACATTTACTTTTAAATTAAATACTAATCTCGATACATACTAACTAATTTATACTACATATATATATATATATATAGTAGTGAAAAATCATAATGTAACGGGAAAAGAAAAGGTTAAAACTCAAATCTCGAATAATCAACAAAACAATAATAATGCCAACTTTAATCATTACACGCCAATTCCGTACAAGAACGTGTAAATATATATACTAAAGAGTTATTCCATTAGATAATAAATAGGTCCATCAATGTGTAATTATAATTACACGCATATATAATATTCCCAATAATCAAACATCCGAGTAAAAAATATAGTTTTTAACTTTTTAAAGGAAAGTTTACAATAAAAAAAAGGTATTCAATAAATTGCACATAATTGCAAGAGGAAGAAGGCCGAAGGACTTTAAGGTAGGAATAAAATAATTACGATGATCATGAAAGGGCAATGAAATAATGGCTCTATAATGATAGTCCATAAACTCCACAATGGGTCAGTCCAAAAAAATTGGTTGAGCTTATAAATGGCCTTTATAAAATAAGACCAATCAAATCTCTCTTGTTAAAATGTATAAATAAATATTTGCAACAAGAATAAACGTAAATAATTTTTTTTTAAATAAAACTAAAAAAAAGGTGTGCTAATGCCATCTTAAATATTTATTTATATGCTCTTCATCTCTATGAATACTTCCATGTAAATGATAAAGTATGATAACTCTTTTAATCCTACAAAATATCGTCGTAAACTTTATGATATACATTAGCAAAATTAAATTTCCGTTATGTTATTGTTTAATGTTTTGTATTTATAATATTGGAAATTGTATTTACTGTGGAGTAAATGATAAAATTGGTATTGACTTTAAATTGGTTTCAGGTTCTTATTCGTTAACCGGTTTGACTTTCGCATACTTTCGGTCACCCACCAGTAACCGTATAAAAATCACCTCTCCCTATTTCCTGTCGCTTTCACTACTGCGTGAGCAAAAGCAGAAACTTATATCCGTTACTGCAGAAGAAGCTCTGCGTCGTTGCTTCAATGGCGATTCTTTAGCCGCTCCTTCTCATTTTCCATGTCTCCGATTTCTGGGTTCGTCTTATTTCTTCTCAAACATCCGGGTCTTTGTTCTTTCTTCTACAATTTCAGTTTTTTTTTAAATTCCGAGTTCTGGGTTTTCCATCTTGTCGAACATTGAGTCATGAATTGTTGGGTTTTTTCGTATACACAGACTGATGGGACTTCATCATTCTCTCATTGTTGAATCTCTGGATTTTTTTTCCATCAGATATTTATAGAAATCTCTCTTACGTTACATCTGATTTTGATTTTTTTTTTTTGGCTGAAGAGTGTTCTCGTGCTCTCCGACCTGCAGAACTGTTCGAGTTTCGAGGAGAGGCCGCGTGAGGTAAAAGGAAAAGGGTTCTGCTGTCCAGATCTGAAAAAGGCAGCGAGGTAACATTTTTTTAATTTGATTTTCAAGGTGTGCTGTAATTTAATCCTTCAATGGCGTCGGGGTTTCGCTTTTTGCTTCCAGAAATTCTAGGGTTTGGGGAATTTAAATTAAAGATAAAAAGTACAAAGACCGACTTTCAATTCAACTCGCCATTTTCGAAGCTGCAATCTCTCTCCCTCTCTCTACACTGTGTCGTATTAGAATTTGGGTTTGAAATTCTCAGAAGAATTAGCATAGAACCGCAGATTCGCTTTTGCTTTTTTTTTTCTCTCTACAGTCATCTTGGAATCCAATTTTTCCTGCGCTTTTTTCCCTTTTTTTAAATTAAAGTGATGTTTTTTTTGCCATTTATATTCTCATTGTCAATTTAGTTGGTCGATTTTCTTTTTGTCTCTTGTTCTTACACTCTTTTTCTCTCTCCAGCTGAGAAAAAGAAGACCCACAAACGGAAGTAGAAAGAAGGAAAAACAGCTTGTTTTCCCAGTGAGATTGATTCATGGAGTCTCGAAGAATTTTCTTGTGGATTCTCTGTTTGGGTTTGGTTTTCTCGGGAGGAAATGCAGACCCAGTCGAGGATAAGCGCGCGCTGCTCGAGTTTCTGAGCATTATGAATCCCACCCGTACACTCAACTGGAACGAGAGCTCCTCCGTCTGTAATATTTGGACAGGAATCACTTGCAGTCAGGACGAATCTCAAGTCATAGCCGTTAGATTGCCCGCAGTTGGTCTCAACGGTCGGATTCCCTCGAACACGATAAGCCGCCTCTCGGGCCTCAGAGTTCTCAGTCTCAGATCCAACCGAATCACCGGCCAGTTTCCGGCGGATTTCGTCAATTTGAAGAACTTGTCGTTCCTCTATCTTCAGTACAACAACTTCACGGGTCCTTTGCCGGAGGATTTTTCCGTTTGGACAAATCTCATGATCGTTAATCTCTCCAACAACGGCTTCAATGGAACCATCCCGGATTCTCTTTCCGGTCTGAAACATCTCCAGTCGCTGAATCTTGCCAACAATTCGCTTTCTGGGGAGATTCCTGATCTGGGTCTTTCTGGTTTGCAGCACATTAACTTGTCCAACAACAACCTCGCTGGATCGATACCAAAGTCACTTCAGAGATTCCCGGGTTCGTCTTTCGTGGGCAATGCTGGAATTTCATCGGGCGACACCCGAGTTCCTCTGGTTCCATCATCGAGCTCTCAGCCTCGCGAGAAACCTAAAGCCCGTCTCCTAGGGCTAAACGAGACAGCATTCTTGTTGATCGTTGTCGCGGTTGGAGTTGTCACAGCTGCAGCGTTTGGGTTTATGCTGATCGTTTGTTGCTCGAAAAGGAAGTCCAGAAACGACGGGATTTCGGATAAGCTTCAGAAAGGGAACATGTCGCCGGAAAAAGTGGTTTCCCGGATGGAAGATCAGAACAACCGGCTGAGTTTTTTCGAGGGATGCAACTATGCATTTGATCTGGAGGATCTCTTGAGGGCATCTGCAGAGATTCTCGGTAAGGGAACGTTTGGCACAACGTATAAGGCTGTTCTTGAGGATGCAACTTCTGTCGTGGTGAAGCGGCTCAAGGACGTGGGAGCTGGGAAACGAGATTTCGAGCAGCAGATGGAGATCATCGGAGGTATTAAGCACGAGAATGTGATGGAGCTGAAGGCATATTACTACTCCAAGGATGAGAAGCTTATGGTTTATGACTATATCAGCCAGGGCAGTGTCTCTTCCATGCTTCATGGTACGTTGTCTTTTTTTCATGTATCTTCTGGGTTAAATCTATAGACACTCACTGTAGTAGCTTGGCATCTACACGTGTTCTGCTTCAAGGCTCGTGTTTTTCCATGCTAGATTCAATCTTGATACATTGATCAGTCATATTTTCACTCTTCGGATCCATCTTTTGATAGGTTTCGATCGATCTCACGACAAGGGAGACAATGGGTTGTAATGAACATGCGTTTGAACTCTTTTCCATGATTAGACAGTGAATCTCTCTGTGTTTGGATTGAACAGGTAACAGAGGAGATAACCGGGTTCCTCTTGACTGGGAAACCCGAATGAGGATAGCCATAGGAGCAGCTAGAGGGATAGCTCGGATCCACGAAGAGACCAGCGGGAAATTCGTCCATGGGAACATCAAGTCCTCAAACATATTCCTGAATTCCCAGCTCGATGGATGTGTTTCGGATCTTGGATTGTCTGCTGTTATGAGCCCCTTGACTCCACCGATATCCCGACAGGCTGGTTACCGTGCACCGGAAGTAACCGATACGAGGAAATCTTCGCAAGCTTCGGACGTTTACAGCTTCGGGGTTGTACTTCTCGAACTTCTGACCGGAAAATCGCCCATCCACACCACCGCCGGTAAGTTACAAACCAGAAGATCTTGTCTTGATTTTCGGATTTTGGAATCTCTGAATCCTCTTGACAGAGATAAAGTTCAAATCTTTGGAGCGTAGGAGACGAGATTATCCACTTGGTTCGGTGGGTTCATTCAGTGGTGAGAGAGGAATGGACAGCGGAGGTTTTCGACATCGAGCTCCTGAAGTATCCCGACATAGAGGAAGAGATGGTGGAGATGTTGCAGATAGCCATGTCGTGCGTGGTCAGGGTTCCTGACCAGCGGCCGAAGATGTCCGATCTGGTCAGACTCCTCGAGAACGTCCGACGAAAACCCGACAGAGGATCCGAGAGCTCCACACCTACCGGAGCTAGAATCTAATGAACGAAATCGAACTGTTGTGATTATTTGACGTTCGTATACTCTGTTGTCGGCGATTCTTCTGAATCTGCTACTGATAGAACTGTTTCTCTGTAACGATTTCGTTGGGTTTATGATTCTGATAATCTTTTTGAAAATCCGATCCCCAGTGGATAAACCCTTCGACCAATGAGAGTTCGTAGACGAATATCCGGCATCCGAGCCCGGATCTAAAAATTGGACTCTGGCCGTCATCGGACCCAAACTCGTTTTGTCCCGAATATGTTTGTTTCATTTGTGTATTGAATTGTACATCGCCCAAAACAAGACTGAGGCCCATTGAAGATTCCATGTTTCTTTACCGATACATTTAGCCTTCAACAAAAAAAAAAAAGTGATGATTCTAACTACGGGCGGGGTCAGCTACATGGACTTCTCGACCAATAATTTTCACTACCAGAGTAAAATTATCCGAATTTTTTAAAACTATTTAATCTGATCTACATGTATCAAATCCCAAAGTTAGGTATCCCAATAATTTAATTTAATTTTTAAAATTTGAGATAGCCCATTCAAATCAAATACATTTTGATGATTAGTTAATAATAGCCGTATAATGTATATATCCAAAATACTTATATTTTCATTTATATTTACGAAATTATGAATACCGCAATATACACACAAAAATAGGGTGTCAATTTAAACCTGAAACCCGTTCCGAATCCATCCGAAAAATACTAGGCTTTGAGTCCAAATTTTTCACCTCGAAAAATATCGGATTTTCGGATCAGACTTGGTTACATAGACACGAAAAAAATCGAACCGGTCCAAACCCAAAACCTTTGCACCGAGTGTAGGTTCAGACTGTTCCGATCCGATTGACACTCCTGCACAAAAGCAAGCATTTCATATTCACACACACTGTGCACACTCTCACTCATTCGTGTGTGTACATATATAGTATGCACGAGACATATATCCTAAAAACTTGTACGGTTACACATACGGTTAGACGTACGTATATACACATATGTGAAATGAGGAATATATACGTATGGAATGTGGAAAATAACATCCACAGTGCACCGAGAGATTTTATTGAGATCATGGTACCCAACGGTGGTGGCAGGGATATATGGACCGACCCATTAAATATGTTCTTCCCGACACGCTTTAAATTACGCAACGAGATGTAAATATTTGCTAACCACTTGTATTTGTCTTGTTGTTGACTTGTCGTTATACTGAAAATTCGTTGAATTAATTTGTGCACCTTCGCAATATAAATGCACTAATGGAAATGAATATTATTTATCTCGGAAAAAAATTGCACTCTGATTAAAATGTGCCGTGAAAAGATAAAAAGAGGATTATTCATTATGATTGCATTTGATTAATTAATTAATCATATCATCACGATAATACATAAAATCAGAGGTGACAAACGAGTTTAACGATTTTTTTTGTTTTTTTGTTTTTTGTGGTGGAGCGTGGTCCTAGACTAGACTCCCAGTCCCAGGTTGTCCGCCACATCAGGCCCTCAGATGTAGAAATAAGGTACACCGAAGGGTAAAATGGTAAAAGCCGTAAACCGCAACAGTGTACTGTTTTTATACAGGCAGCTTGTCCGGATACAAAATGACCAAAACACCCCTGTGGTTAATTGTGGAGAGCAATTAGCTGCCTTTTATTATTATTATTATTATTATTATTATTATTATTATTTCTGGTCCAATGTAAGACTGAACCGTGCGAGTCTCCGGTGTCACGTGACCTGAATCCCTAATCACGAGAAAATTTAAAACATAAATGGATGTATACAAAACTTGAATGTGTATTTTTTGGGTACTCAGCTGGTCAGTGTGGCATGTTCCCAGCCGTTAGATTGGACCCAATCATCTGGGCCAATAAACACGTGTCGGAATCTGAGCCTTTTAACTTATGCGGCGCCCCGGAAAATATCTTCCACTGCCGGAATCTCTCCTCGCCGTTAGCGCCGTTGAAAATTTTCCCTATTGATATCATCGTTTGCAAAATTTCATTTTATTTTTTAAATTTTGTTCCTTTGGTTTCTAGTTTTTTTTCCCACGAACATTTAACGTGTAGATCCTTTTACTCGCTGCATGTTCCTACACTTGAACTAAATTAAAACCTAATTTGGCCAAGTGTTTATCATTCGTAGGCATCCACTTAACGTTCTCTTTGATATTTCTTATTCACCATTTTGTGCGTGAATGTAATCATTCACAGATATTAATTTAAATATATTATAAGAACAAAGAAAAAAACGTTGAAGTGGCAAAAGAAGCGGGTGAAACGCCGTTTTGGGATCCTATAAAAGAGTATCCTTTTCGTGGAGTTGTTCCTCTCTATTCCCATGTGCTCTGCCGCTTTTCTATCTTCCTCTTCTTCTTCCCTCTCACCACTCAAAAATTTTCTCGGAATGTTGTTAGGCTTCGACCCTGCTGCTCTCAGCAAGAAAGTAGCATCCTCCTCCTCTTTTTCCTGATTCCAAAAGCGAAAAGCTTTTATTTTTCTCCACTGTTCCTTTCCTCTCTTCTTCTGCTTTCCGGGAAAATCTTCGCGCTTCTGTAATCTCTACCTCGTCGTTTCCATAGCTCGTCGCTTTCCGTGAAATTTCTCGTCCTTCGATAAAACTTTTGCAGAGAATCACTCTCTCTCTCTCTTCTCGTTCAAGCTTCTTCTCCTTTTCGTTTTCCTTTATTCTGTCCCCCTCCTTTTTTCCCCCTTCTGAAAATCTCTCTTTTCGCTTTCAATGCTTTTCCTCACTCTCTGATATGTGTATAGACAGAGCCACACACACAGAGTTACAGTGACAGTCAGAGTCAGAGACCCTGTTTGGATAGCGAGAAAATGGAAACGGAGAAGAAAGTCGTTCTCCGGAGAATCAAATCCACAGAGCACAGAATCGTCAACAGCACCAGAACAGTACCCACGACATTCGAGTTCAACCCACCCAGAATCCTACGCATCTCCGTCACCGATCCAGACGCTACCGATTCCTCCAGCGACGAAGACGAAGAACACGAAAACTCCAAACGACGCGCCAAGAAGTTCGTCAGCGAGGTTGTGCTCGAATCGTTTTCCACGAAGACCGGCGGTGGTGGAGGAGCCAGGAAGAGGCGGAAGACGGCAACAACGGCTGCGGCGGAGAGGAAATTCCGGGGAGTGAGGCGACGGCCGTGGGGGAAATGGGCGGCGGAGATAAGAGATCCTCTGAGACGTGTACGTCTCTGGTTAGGAACCTACGACACGGCTGAGGAAGCCGCCATGGTTTACGACAACGCCGCCATCCAGCTCCATGGCCCCGACGCGCTCACCAACTTCGCCACTCCGCCGACGCGTACGGCGGCGGG